GTATAAGGTTCACAGAAGCAAAAGAAGATAGTGGTCCCAGTACTTGGTTTCAAAAAGAAAAGCGACTAATCACAAACGATATCAAAAAGGAAAACCTAGCTGTGGAGAAAAAATATCACTAAGTCTTCTACAACTGCGGTATTTTCCCCTTGAACTAAATTGTTTACTATTTTCATTCTTAAACCCAAAAGGTGTACTTAACAGCCTCTTTCTTTAAACATCCCAGATAACGTTGAGGTAAACCAGGAACACAAAACCTCCTACCATTTTTATTTTTCCCCTTCCTTCTATTTACTACTCCCACCACCATGGTAACCTTCAGTTAACAATCAAATTCTTCTCACCTATGTTTTTCATCCTCCTATTTCTGCTGTTGCTAATTCTCGACAGTATAGCCCACTGCCAACCTCTCCTCAACCTCACATAATTCCCTCTCTCCAGGCTGCCATTGGAGGTTCTTTTTCTTTTGTTTTCACTAAGATCCACTGTATTGGTTGCCTCAGCCTAGTTAATGAAGTCTCTCACCTCCCTTCTCCATCTCGTACTGCTTATTTTCTTTATCTTCTCTCTTCCTGCTCCCCCTCTGCCCTCTTTCCAATATAAGAGCCAACTGCAGGTCCAACAAGTGGATGCTGGTTGGAAAAAGGAAGACAGGGAAAGGAGAAAAGAGGAGAGGAAGAAGAAAAATGATAAGGAGGATTGAAATAGTATGTGGAACCTCATTTTTAATAAGTCACAAAAAGGCAAGTTACTTCACTTTAAAGTTCGAGACAACAATGCAATGTAATTTAGTTTAAGAGAAATTATCAGGGTTATAAGAGTTTAGGGTGGAATTCTGCACTTACTAACATTCCTATTACAATATAAAGGAGGTGGTGTAAAGTAGTGTACCAAAACAATTATAAAGTGGAAATATTATCCCCAATATATAGGGAAGATAAATATAAGTTATTGAACAGACAATACAGTAGACTGATATAAGCAAAAATTATGCTACAAAAATTGAAAGCCAAAAAACACTTTGAACTGAAGATGTTACATACTAGTATAAATTATCCAGAGGAATGATACGACATCTTTAAACCTTAATTCACTTCTTTATAACAAGCTTATATCTAATTTATGTACAAAAACACAGAAAAGAGAAGTGGCAAACTAACCAGTGAAAAACTGAGGAAACTTAACCGGCAGGATAACAGCCTCTTGCAATGCCTGCTTGGCACTCTCAAGCCCTGCTACATCATTCCACTTCACATTAGGTTTTTCCCTTACAATAGCGGAATTAAGCCCAGCTCTTAACTTTACATTCTCTGAATCATCACCCTCTCCTCCTCCTCCTCCATTCTTTGGCTTTGACTTTGCGCGCGACGCAACAGCAGCATCTCCATTGGACGTCGGCCCACCACCTCCCTCATCTAGAACAGAACGAATCTCCTCAGCCCTCCTCAAATACTCCACAAACTTCTGGGTAATTGCTTCCTTAATCTTGGGATTCTTCTCATATTTCAGATGAGTTTTAAAATACTCCAAAGCATTCATATATAGAGAGAAAGCCTTTGCATAATTTCCAGCATTATCTTCCTCAACTGCTTGCTTCACATAAGCTACAGCCTGCTCCTTGAAATTGCTATACATCTTATAATCACAAACCACATGCAAAATTCAAAGCTTGAAACTTTTAACAAGCAACCGAACCCACGTTCAACAAACTATACCTCAATCCTCCCCAAGTCTTACTTTTCTTACGATTTCCTGTTCACCAAAAAACAACTCTGTCAAGAAACCAAGTTATCATTTATAACCATACAAACAACAACAACAAACCCAGTGCAATCACACATGTGGGGTTTCGGGAGGATAGTGTATACGTATCCTTACCCCTAACTTGAGAAGGTAGAGAGACTGTTTCCGTTAGTTCCTCCACTCAAAAACAGATGAAAAATACGATTGTAGCAACAAGATTGTTATTCTTAACTATGTTTTCCCAAAAAACAACAACCCCTACTGCATATGATCAAAATCAAAGAAACCCAGTTCAGAAAACATCTGTATACTTCAACTAAACAACATACATAATTCGATTCGATCAATCATCAATTCTAGTTTGAATTTCAAAACCAAGCTCAATCTTCAAAATTATTTCCCCAAAACCACTCAATCAGAAACCATATCCTTAAATTTCAACTATTTCTTCAAAACTTACAAACCCCAGACACCAAGTTTCTATCTTTTAGCTATTTCTTCCAAAAAACAACAACCCCTTTTGCATCTGATCAAAATCAACCAAACCCAGTATAGAAGTACCTAAACATAACTAATAGATTAAATCTAAAATTCTAGTTTTCAAGATCAATATAATTAACACATGCAAAAGCAAATCCAAAACAAACTACGAAAAGGGTATCTGAAATTGAGGGAAACGAAATCAACAAACCTGTAAATCAGCAAAAATCAAAGCTCTAATGAAAATAAAAAAAATCCGGGAAATTCAACTTTTTCAACGAACGCGTTATAGAATCTGCAAAATTTTGGAAAATTTAGAGAAGGAATTGTAGTTAAAAATTTGAGATTTGATTTGTTTGGAGTTGGAATTTGGTGGTGTCAACTTCCAAATCACAAATTCCAGAAAAATCAGACTGGCAATTCCTCCTCCTTTCCTTTTTTTTTTTCTCCTTTGAACTTTTTCCAATAAAATAAAATAAAATATAACCAATTTCAGATTTAAGTATAATTGTTTTATATTTATGCAAATTAAATAATTTAATTTTAACAAAATTATATTATATATTATGATAATAGATATTACTAATGTTTTTATTATATAATAGTTTCTTTTCTTTGTTCAATAGTTATTCTTGTCCAAGTTATCAAGCATATGTGACTTGGGAGGTAAAACTTTATTCGCATATGAAAGTTCGGGTTGAGTGTTTATATTAAATTAATATGATTTTAATGAAGTCAAAATATATATTAATTAATCTTAGTTGAAGTGAGAATTAGGTCTTGATCGTGTTATATTATTTATCATCGATATTTTATTATATGAAAAAATCTATCTCATTGAATGATCTTACTACTGTACTAAAAATCTAAAAAACTGAATAAGTGTTTTGTAAAGAACATAATCGAGGGTAAGAATTTTGTGAGTAGAAGAAGAGCACAACAAAAATTTTAAAAATCTAATATGAGATATATATGTCTCAAGTTTAGCTATACATATACCTAAACTTCATGCAAAATATATAAAATTTTGTCATATACATACTCGGATTCATGTAAAAATATTTAAAGTTTCGCCTTATATAAATATTCAAAGTTGGCTTTGACAAATCAAGTAAAATTTTGAGTAATAATATCCAAAAATTTGACCTTGGCAAACTAATACCACACTTCAAAATGTCCAAAGTTTATCAAACTTCAACCATGATTCTATTCTTTTGTTAATCAAATTTCAGACACAAATACTTATAATTTCAGTCTTATATATCTTAAGCTATTTCGAAGTTGATAAATTTATATAAAAAATAATAATAATAACTTCCGATACAACTTAAATAATGATTTCGAATTTAGGTATTTGTGCACTTTCAAGAAAAATCACAAATAATATCAAATTATTTGAAAATAAATATGAAATTACACCCAATAACCTTTAAAAATAGATAGTTACTATCTCCATTCTCCATCCACTTTTAATTGTCATAATTTCCTTTTTTAGAGTTAAACTATAAAAACTTTGACTAACATTTTACGATGTATTTTTTCATCATATTAATATGCAAAAAAATGTAATTTATGTACTTTTCATACAGTTTTTGAATATCTAATTTTTTTAAATATCGAATAAATGTAATCTAATTTAACTTTGAAAATTAGTTAAATTGACTTTCGAAAAACGCAACATAACAAATAAAAGTGGATGGAGAAAGTAATAATTTAAGACCACTTATCCTCATGGTGGTACGTTACCCTAATAAAGTTTTGCCTAATGAAAACTAATTTGTCTTTATTTATTCACATTACAACTACTAAATGTTGGATTAGCTAATAAAGGAAATATGGAAAACTTGTGTTTACTTTTGAATGAGAAGATAAGAAATTTAATGAACCTTAGCTTATTCCACGCTGATTAATTTATTTTGTGACACGTAACATGTCAAAAAGAAATATACCCTCTATATATACATAGTTTTTAATTTAATGGATAGCAACATTTTTTTGTTCTTGCAGTATTACTCAAAAAATGGGAAATAAAGCCTACTTCTTATGCTGTTTATGTATCTATGCTTATATGACCACTTTTCCTCCTGGTAAATTTCATCACTCATAAATTGTAGTAGTTTAAGATAAAGTTTAATTTTGTTGAATCTAAAAGCTTAAAGGTTAAGCTGTTAGAGAGAGCAATTTTATTATTTAATTATATTTTTAATACGTTTTTTCATTTGTGGGCCTAATTCTTTTTCATGGCTGAGCATGTGGAAATTCTTTTTGATATGGGTGACAACGAGATTTTGATTCAGGACTTTTGTCTGCTCTGATACTATGTTGAAGTGTGTGACTATCTCATCTAAAAGTTTAAACTGATAGAAATAATACATTTTTATTATTTAATTATATTCTCAATAAATTTCAATTTGTTTGTTCGATTTGCTTAAGAAGTCTCACATTAGTAGAGGGAAGGGATACCCTCCTTTACTAGCTTTTGGGGTTGAGTTAGGCCCAGGTGCTAAATCATTACGTTTCAAGAAAAAAAGTCTAGGAGATTCACATGCGGATATACTGATATTTAAGATCTAAATTTTACGAATTCAATATTAAAGGTTTTTTTAGCATTAAACTCATTATATTTCTGAAGTTAATGTGTATATCTACTATTTGTTGCAATTTTAATGATTTTTTATACGTAACCTTATGTTTTGTGTCAAAAGTACTGAATTCAAATAAATCTAGTATTGTAATATTGGATCCTCCCTTGATCAGCATCTATTTATTTATTTTGTTGCAGTTGACATGATTGAGGAGGTTGATGTTGTACTCAAAAGACAGCATGGGAAGCACAAACATGGTGAAATTAAACTGTTTGTTTTTGGAGACTCATATGTTGATACTGGGAATTGGCCAAAATCTATGTCTAGTTCTTGGAAACGGCCTTATGGCTTCACTTATCCTGGTTATCCTTCTGGAAGATTCTCCGACGGCCTCGTACTCACTGATTTTATTGGTACGTACATCGTCTGTGTCACTAATGTTTGCATTACATTATATTTACATGCATAACGTAACATTTCTGGGGTGCCACTCTTCTTTGAATGCTACTAACGTGAAACATTTTGTACATCAAATTGTCTTTTCTTTTCTTTTTAATTCTTTATATTAGTGGTCTCAAATGAGTGAATTAAGACTATCAAAATCATGAATTGAATTAATAATTAATAAATTAATGAGTTATAGACTAACCAATCCATCCAATCGGGGGCAGATTTTACTTTCAAAATTAAATTATGATAAACGTGAACACATAATCTTTCCGCAAAATCAAGTATTCTATGTTCATATTTCTTAGAATTTGATCTTATATAGTCTGCTGGATCATGTTTCCGAAAGACTAAAAGATGTACTTGGTTTAATATTGAGTTATTTGCTCGATCGGAGTAATAAGGCCAGAATGATTTTCATGACTTAATACTTTCTTTTTTCTCTTTTATCTGAATTCTGATGATGTACTCATGTTCTAGAAAATCTCTAAATTTCGCATTTTCAATAAGTTTAAATTTCTATTAATTACTTAATATTTGACTTTGTAATTAATTAATGCAGCTTCATTCCTTGGTATAAAATCTCCACAACCTTATGCTAATAGAAAGAAAATATCATCACATGAAATGGATAATTATGGGGTAAATTTTGCATATGGAGGCACAGGTGTATTCAATACTTTTGTTGACCAACCAAATATGACAACACAAATAAATTATTTTCAACAACTTGTTGAAGAAGAGGAACAAGTGTACAACAAAGAGAAGATGAGTTCATCAATTGCTATTGTGTCTGTGGCAGGCAATGATTATGCTACTTTCATCACCAAAAATAACAACAATATGGAGGTAATTAAGTTGTTAAACTAACCTAACTTTTATGTGTATATATATATTCAACAATATGGAGGTAATTAAATAATGTATCTAGAATTGTTTGGTTATCTATATGGTCTTATTTTCTTGCGTTTGCTTACCTAGCAAATGTCTTTAAGAAGTACCACGATGGAGTTCCAACAAAAAAAAAAAAAAGTCATCCTTGATTAAGTCTTAATAATGGATACAAAGTCATCTTTATTAGAAAGTGTTTTATCTTCTGTAACAGCCTAATCCGCTAGTGATACTATCCGCTTTGGGTTTAGGCCCGCAATGAATTTAAAACGCATCCCTAGTTGGTAAGATATGCTTACTTATATACCCAACATCTTTCATGTGTTTTACAGATATGAGACTTTTTATCTTAAGTTAGGCGTCACACCTTCAATATATATGGAAATTTACTCCACCTAATACTTGTATCAGACACCGGGTGAGGACCAAGTACCAACCCAACCCCACCCACCCACCCACCAAAAAAAAAAAACACCCATAGAAGCAAGAAATCTCTAGATTTAGCTAGGGAAGTTTTTTTTTTCTTCTTCTTCAGATTCTCATTTCAGTGTCCGTATACACATTGAAATCCGACAAAAATTGGATTCATGCCAGAAAGTTCCACATTAAGTGGTAAAGCTTTATCTAAGAAAGGTGACTCTGTATCCTTTGACTAAAACCCAAAATATCTGGTTAAGGATGAAAGAGTACTTATAACTCCACCAACCATGGTTCTCTTGCTCTTGATCTCATTATTTTTTAATCATCTCCAATAACTATTTTAAATGTCATTTAATTAGCCAATATAAACAATTAAACCCCCCTCTAAATATAAACAATATTCATTAATTAATTTCTTCTAGTCATTACCATAATAAAATGCTAGATCATATTTTCTAATTATTATTTTTTTGGTGCAGGATTTGGGCAATGTTACTAAATCAATATTAAGTCAACTTGAATTAAACCTTAGACGTATACATGGATTAGGAGTTCAAAAAATAGGAATAACAGCAATGGAACCCATAGGTTGTTTGCCAAAAATGACAATTAGTTCTTCTTATGAGAATTGTAGTGAATATGCCAATTCTCTTTCAATATTTCACAATCAAATGTTACATCAAATAATAGACAAACTCAACAATCAAACTAGTAGACCAATTTTCTTCATTATTGATCTCTATAGTGCCTTCATGACTGCCTTGAACATACAACAAAACCATCCAGGTAATAGTTAATTTCACGTATGGTTACTGAACTTTGATCACACGTACGTTAAATTAAGTATGCATTTTACACCATATGCACTAATTCACGGTTTTATCGTGTATTTATTGAATTTTTTACCCCTAATTAATCTTTCATTTTTTTTAGGAAATTCAAACTTTGAGAATCCATTGAAACCATGTTGCATGGGAATTTGTGGAGAAAAGAAGAAATATGTATTATGCAAAAATCCAGAACTTTCATTCTTCTGGGATGTAATTCATCCTTCTCAACAAGGCTGGTTTGCTGTTTTTTCTGCTCTAAAACCTTCTCTAAGTTCCTTATTGTAAACCATATAGGGATGATTACGTGTTTGAACCATTCGATCATTTAATTTAAAAATATGTATAAGTTGTGTATACTTTGTACTCAATATACACATACTATGTATACAATATACATATCTATACACAACATATGCATTGATAGTGTACATGTTATATATTATATGTCGATTACATTTTGTAAAAAATATTGTCCCTTATTCTTCTTTATTTTCTTGTATCTTATGGTATGTCAAATCTTCATCATCATGTTTGTGATATTATTGAAGTAAACATTAAATCACACAAATTACTTATCAAATTGAAGTAGTGACTGAACTACTTCTTTTCCTTCATATTTTTTTTAGTTTATATGATGTATGTAGTTTGAATTTATCAGTATAACATTTGTCCAATTATAAACTTTTCTCAATAAGGATAAATGAGAAGTGTATCCTTTTCTGGAACTGACTAAAAAGAACGTATGTCACATAAATTTAAACGGAAGATATATGGTAAGGAGACTTACACAAATGTACAATTCGGCCAATAGCTTACCAACTCAATGATGTATATACTATTTATATGCTTCAAATATTGAATATGCTATGTGTAGGTATATATATTAGTATATGTATAATGTGTGTGTATATTATATGTATATTACATGTAATCTAATAGTCCTATTAGAATTTAGAGAGAATTGGTGAAATTAGAGTTTTGATAGAAAATGAAAGGGAATTTTTATTTTCAGTGGAAATTTCTTTTTAAGAGTAATATTCAACCAAGACCAATAATGAAAAAGGAATATGTTCTTTAGTTGGGGAGATCTTGTGTCTTGCAAAGATTATATGTTCTCATTGATGTATATTTTTCAGAAGGCATAATACATAAACACACATTTAAAATTGACTTTATTTGGCAAGTAAGCATTCTAATTTCGAAAGTGCATTTCTAGACATCTCAACTGGCAACTAAAATACTCCAATGTAACTCGTCTCTTATGTGTCTTTGTGAACATTTGACGCTGAGGTGACACGTAAATTTTGGAGGTGTCTAGATAATCATTTTGTAAATTGGAGTGTTCAACTGATCATATAATAAAGACAAGTTGAGGTGTCTAAATATACATATTCAAAATTAGAGTATTTACTTAATTATCAGTTGATGCCAAATTTAAGTAATGTTCATGTTAATTTCTTTGACTGATATATGCTTCTATTTGACTCTGCTTAGAATCATTCCTCTTTAAGATGGGGACGAGTTGTGAAAGCTATATTTGTCCTTATGGTTCACTATCTAACTAATTTAATTAAGTCATGTTTAAGCTATACACACAATTATATATTATTCGAAAATTTTATATCATCAGGATATTTTTATTTGTTATAATAGATAATTTGTTTTTATCATAAGATTACGAGGAATAAATAATCTTTCATTTAATAGGTGATTGGTCCACCGCCAATTTGCAATTTTCTGTTAGTTAATTAATCATCAGATTAGATAATAACAGACTCTAATAGAACAATAATTATTCCTTCATCCTTAATAAAAAAATTTGAGTTCAAACCTTAAAGAGAGAATTTGTCTAGAATAGGGAGCGCTTTGCCCCACCTTCCACTCTCCCGGTCCCTCACGATAGAACGTCCGATTGAAATTTGAATTAGTTGAGCTCCAAAATAAATAAGCAATTAAAATTATAAGAAGTGTAGTGAGGTGGGAATATTGAACATATAACCTCTTATAATTGCAAAATAAAGCAAGAAAAGTTGAATTATTAGCCACTTTTGTGATGCACAAGATATGTTAGCCCTTACTAATATTAGAAGTAGTAGCTAGCTTGTAAGATGAGTGAGACATTTTGCAAAATTGGCCGCCATATTTTTGGTCACTTTCTTCTTCAATTGTTTCCAACTTCAATTCAAAGCTCAACTTCCTCTCTGTCTTCCTACAAATTTGTGGCACTTTTTCACCTTTTCCCCAACAAACACTACTACTAATCACTTGCTTTGACATCTCTCTATATCTATATATATATATATATATATATATATGAGAATTGTTGTTTCTCTTGTTTGAGATTTTTCTTTTATGTTGTAGTGTAGATGATTGATGAGAGTGAAAGCTAAGCTACTTATAGGAAAAGTATTTTGGAATTTTGGTACCCTTTTATCTTGTATTTGTGTCGGGGTATACACTCTCAATAATCTTAATTAATAATTTGTTGTTGTTGATTGTTATTATTATTAATATTATTGGAGAAAGGTACTGAAAACAATTTGAACTTGATGCAAATTATTAGTTTTATTTTCAAACTAATTGACAATCTTAAATTAAACCACCTTTCTACTTGACTAACTAAACTTAGATTTCCCCGATCTACCACATGACATAGCAGGTGGTCTCAAACTCTTTTAGGAGCATGAAGCTCTTAATAAAAGGCCGAGAGAAGTGTTGAAAACACCCTTTTATAACTTGACGAGAAATTATGGGTGTATTTCATTCAGGTTGTAAGATTGGAGATGTGTTTACAGTTAGTCAAATAAATAGTGTTTCTAAGGCTGTCAATAGCTGAAGGATAAAACTGATAATCTACGTTGAATTTAGAAATGTTTTCAATACTTCTTATTATTCCATAATTGGTAAAAGATACAATATTGGTCTTTAGTGCCTTTCATTTTGCATTTTTTCTTTTCCAATTTCGAATTAACTTTAATAGCCAAAGTCAATAAGAGAATATATCTAAAAATAATGATTTCATCGCTAATCTATGGCTAAATATTACTGATAATTTTATTTGTGGAGATCATCTATATTCTTATTCTAATTGATTTGTTGTTATTCTTCCCTAATTGGTAAAAGATCCATAGGTCTTTAGTGCCTTCAACTTTACTTTTATTTCTAGTTTTGAATCATAATATTTTTTCTTACTTTTATAACCCAAAGACCAAAGTAAATGGCTTGTACCCCTTCTTGGTTATTTTAGGTGTCTTTTAAGATTTTGGCATACAATTTATATATTAAGAAAATTAATTAGTAACATTAAGTTTAAGAAGTTAGTTAATTAAATTACCTGTTACCTTTCCTCAAGATCTTTAAGGATGATATAAGAAGACAATATTAATTAAAGAGAATAATTACTCAAGGGCAATGACTATTCCATCAACTCAATGTCGCTGCGTAAATTAAGTGATGAGGATATGCCGTCATTGCAGTTTGAATTTGAAATCTTTCATAGGCTCATATTGTCGATTGACATTTAAATCTTGGTTATTCATAAATATTTGGGTTTTTTAATCGTTTCCGTTCAACTCTCCTTTTAGAGCTATGCTATCTGAAAATGGAAGAGATAGCTTACTAATCTACTAAGTAAATAGTCTTGATCAAAAGACATGAAAAATATTTAAAAGTTATAAAGTAGATTATTTGTTAGAGCAAGAATATATTTGAAAACATAATAATAATTTCTTAAAATGACATTTCCTATGGACCAAATTTAAAGGGCTAAAAAGACACTTAAAAATGAATGAATGGAGTATGTTATAGTCTTTTATTTTCTCTTAATCTAAGCTCAATTAATTCATAATTTTGTTCTACAAAAAATGAGTACTTCTTTTGTTGTCATTAAGGTCTTCAAAATCACAACTAACAATAGAATAAAAATAACATCTGATCTCGCGGGACAAAATCAATTAATTAAATTCAACATGATAATTAATTATCTGACAGACGTTCTTATCAACTAGACTAACATGTGGAAAGCAATATCAAACTTCTTCATTTCATACGTTGGTCCACTATTTAACAAAGACTTGAATTTCGATCAATGGTCATATTCAAAGAGGATATAGTTTTTAAAAAGTTTTTTAAATAAAAACATGATGCATGTACTTAGGCAAGTCTTATGGTGATTCGATTAAAGCTAATATATATCCAATGACTTTGAAAGAACAAGTTCAATGGTTCAAAATGATTGATCTAAGATTCTCTCAATCAATTATTATCAAAAATATTCCAATTCCTTATCCATTATCTTGACTGCCGAATAAGTATATTAACTTTGCCTACTCCACTTTTAGAATGGGTTCAAGTTTCAACCTTTACAATTTTTATTATTCTTCCGTTTTAATTTATTTGTCTGTTTGAATAGAAATGTCCTTTTTTGTAATTTTTTAATTTTATTTTTTTATATGACATGTAATTTAGAACCATAAGATTAAAGATCATTTTTGGATATTCTACATATCTTTTGGTTTAACACGAAAAATTTCAAAATTCTTCTTTACTTTCTTAATTAGATTTAAAATTTCTTCAAATTAACTCTCGAAAAATAAAGAAAATATCACATAAATAAAAAGAGAGAAAGAAATTTTTAAGAATTGAGTGTGAGTTCTTCAAAAAAAAAAGAAGTAATTTTCCTTTTGTAGAAAACCAAACAAACACTTATTGTGAAACTTATTGAAAAATTATAGTTACGTGACTATTTACGAAATTTATTTCAAAAGCAAATGAGCCTAATTTAAATTGAGGAATTTTTGTATATGTCTACTCAAAACTAACTTAATTATGCTTCATAGCTATAGTTTGCTAATTACGAGTTGTAGCTATATATTAGAGGGAGGAGAGAGGCGAGTGCGACTGGTAGATGGAGGAGAGAGGAGAGCAAGATTGGTAAAGGGAGGAGAGAGGCAAGTAAGAGAGGGCAGAGAGTGGAGAGAGGCGAATTATATATATATATATATATTTGTCGAATTGTATATGTATATCTATCAAATAATTGTATATATGTAACTGGTATACATATGTATTTGTATATCTGGTGAGCGGGATTGGGAGAGGGAGGAGAGAGGCGAGCAAGAGAGGGAAAATAATGGAGAGAGGTGAATTGTATAGGTATATCTGTCAAATACTTGTATATATATAAGTGGTTATATATCTAGCGTGAGAGATTGGGAGAGGGAGGAGAGAGGCGAGCGAGAGAGGGTATAATTGTATATGTATATGTATAAAATGGGAGACTAGAGGAAGTAACGAACCCAGAGTTATCAATAAAGGGTGTTAATAGTTGTAATAAAAAAATAATATAAGGGGTGTCAATAGTTATAATAAAAATATAATTATGAGGCTACTCTAGTAGGACTAGAACACACAACCTCAAGTAATTTTCACAACACATCGTAGACCAAGGGCGAAAACTCATCGTTTACGACATGGACTACCAGAATAT